CGAAATATAGGTAGGCTCCCGACGTGGAGATAAGGACACGTTCATTGAAGTTTGAGGATATTGGTAAATATTAGTGACCCTACTGAATGGCACGATGATGTAAAATGTGTCACACTATGAAACTATATAAACCCTCTAACCCTAAGATAATCGTTTCATCCTCTAGATAAACTTTGTCGCATAACGATATCTTTATCAGACGATAAGATATCGCTTAAATGCGGCCGGCAGTGAGTTGTAAACTTTGTCACACTATAAAAACGTGACGGAGTTTATATGGACCCCTTGTTGCCGTGTTTGACCAAATATTCGAATTTCCAATTCATAGAATAGCTATATATGACTATTATCTACATATTTAACGACTTTTTTCCTTAAATGGTAGCACCATGTAAACTCCGTCACACATTTAAGAAATTTATATGAGGGATGTTTATGACATCCTGACAATAAATGCCGAATAGTCTAGCATTATTTTGTGAGCTGAATGTGTTTGGAATTGTTCACATATTTCATTGTTATAGGCAAATACACATACAGAAGGCAGAAATAGGTAAATTTAGTCACATAAATTTGTATGATATCTCAACATGTGTGAAATTGAGTAAATATTAGTATACCAACTTGAACACCCTATATTACGTACTATGGATCAATTAACAATATTTCAACCATACGCCGGTCATATAAATTATTATATGGCAGTGATATGTTAACATTGGATAAATTTTTAACACCTGAACAGGGTAAAAATTTGTAAATTTCGTCACAAAAAAAATATTATAACTTTATTTGCTCCGTGTTGGCAAAATAACTAATTTATCGACATAGTGATGGTGATAAAGTAACAGTATATACTAATTGAGGTTGATTCTTCAAATCAGGGGCAATAAATGTAAATTTCGTCACATCAGCCATTGCATTAGTTAGATAGATTTTCTTTCATATCAACTGCCCTTATTATAGTTGGAATGGATTTATACAGGAAATATAAAAACCCATGCCCATTTTCCATCACATTGGAATTATACTGTTGGGGCAGGAAAAGTAAATTTCGTCACATTTCGGTAAATTAGTGATATCAAACTCAGCATTGTTAAACTTGAGTTCTGATTTGCTGAAAAATAACCTACCAATAATTCCTGGAAGAATATTGAATCCTAATCGGGGTATGGTTCTTCAAAATAGGGTCAAGAAATGTAAATTTCGTCACATACGTCATTGTAAAATTTAGATACATTTTCTTTCACATCAACAGTCCTAATTATAGTTTGAAATGATTAATTCAGAGATAAAGGAAATATAGAAACCCATGCCCATTTTTCATCACATTGAAATTATACTGTTGGGGCAGGAAAAGTGAATTTCGTCACATTTCGGTAACTTAGTAAAATTAAACTCAGAATTGTTAAACTTGAGTTCTGATTTGCTGAATAATAACCTACTAATAATTCCTGGAAGAATATTGAATTCTAATCGAGGCATGTTTCTTCAAAATAGGGTCAAGAAATGTAAATTTCGTCACATCAGCCATTGCATTAGTTAGATAGATTTTCTTTCATATCAACTGCCCTTATTATTACTGTGACAATTTTTACATCAACTGCCCTTAACTAGAATCAGCTCTATCCGTGCATCGTCCTTATATACAGTTTTCCCGCCTTCCAAACCAAAATCAGATATAAATGATTTCGGCAATTCACCCAAAATTTTAAATTCCATATAATGTGACAGAATTTATATCATTTCCCAATAAGTGCATGTATTTGCTAACTTTTCAAAACAACATATTTTAGGGCTATGACTGGTAGAAGAACCATCAAATAATGAGTTGAAAGGGTTTTGAGGACACCTCACAGTAGAAAAGAGGTATCGTATTCTGAGTGTGACAAAGTTTACGAAATATTGCCTTAAAACCGTTCGATCCCTGCCTTTTAGCCAAATGTTGTATCATAATTGTTAGAATGACCTAATCTACTATATTTTAAACCAAAAAATGCTAATTGGGCAGCTATAGTTAACACAGTCACAAAAATGTGACATTTTTTACATTATAGTGCCTAAAAACAATAAATTGTATTTCTGAGCCGTGTATATGGAAGTATGGGTCACGTGGCTAATGTCCAGAACTTCTGAACACGCTATTTTTTTGGTTTACCAATATCCTTAAACTTCAACATGAACGTGTCCATTTACGATTTCGTATCATTTTGTGACGATGTTTACATCAACTGCCCTATACTTCAATCAACTATATCCGTGTATCGTCCTCATATATAGAGTTTTCCCGCCTTCCAAACCAAAATCAGATATAAATGATTTCGGAAATTCACCCAGAATTTCAAATTCCATATAATGTGACAGAATTTACATCATTTCCCAATAGCCAAGTGCATGTATTTGTTAACTTTTCAAAACAACATATTTTAGGGCTATGATTGGCAGAAGAACTATATCAAATAATGAGTTGAAAGGGTTTTGAGGACACCTCACAGTAGAAAAGAGGTCTCTTATTCTGAGTGTGACAAAGTTTACGAAATGTTGCCTTAAAGCCGTTCGATCACTGCCCTTTAGGCCTACATTGTATCATAATTGTTAGATTGACCTAATCCACTATATTTTAGACCAAAAAATGCTAATTGGGCAGCTATGGTAAACAATGTCACAAAAATGTGACATTTTTTACATAATAGTGCCTAAAAGCAATACATTTTATTTTTGAGCAGTGCATATGGGAGTATGGGTCACGTGGCTAATGTTCAGAACTTATGAACACGCTAGATTAATATATGTTAAAATTAAACCACTATCGTCAAAAACGCTGTTTTAGAAATTTACCAATTTCCTCAAACTTCAATGAACGTGTCCATAAAGGTATTAGTAAGGGTCTTACTTTAAGTGTAGTACCTTGCTATACCTTTGATACCTTTTATCTGCTTCGTCGAAACTCGACAGGCCATCAGAGTTGCTGACCACCCCAGAGAGCAGATGCCTCTCGATCGTTACGCCAGTCCAGTATAGAATTGGAGTTCGGTGGTGTGGAGCCCCGGATTGGCGGTTTATCCGGCAAGGAAAGCATGAACACCGTCATATGATGCTTGAACTTGAAGCCATCATGCTTGGAGACTGCACGTATGTGTCAAGGTATACAGTTCCAGAGTCTGGGACCCATTACACTAAATGATGTTTCGTATAGAGTCTGATGAGTGATGAGCTTCTTGTACGGAGCTTTTTTAGTACTTATACTAAGACCATATATGCAGAACCGATTAACCACAAAATAAGAAATAGAATTAGAGAGGTTAACAGTAAGTTAACAGTAAGTTAACAGCAAGTTAACAGCAAGTTAACATCAAGTTAACAGCAAGTTAACAGCAAGTTAACAGACGGTTGACAGACGGTTAACAGCAAGTTAACATCAGGTTAACATCAGGTTAACAGCAAGTTAACATCAGGTTAACAGACGGTTAATATCAGGTTAAAAGCAAGTTAACAGCAGGCCTCAGAGCACCATGTCTATTGTATATTGCTCTAACCTGCCATGACGGTGATGCAATACGGCTCCAGGTAACATGATACCCTGACCACCATATTTCATTACGTGGACAATGAGCAGCTTCTGAGCTTCCAGGGAATAGTCTAGAAAACAGAGAAAACGACGTGGTATTGAATTAAGCGGGGTCCAATAACAGGTGAAACTGAAAGGGGGAATGAAGTTTCACAGAGGGAAAATGGTGAAGAACTAAGAATATTTTCAATTACCAAGAAATGTTCGGATGAAAAGAAGATAAGCGATAAGTCAGAGGTTCTATGATGGACTAGTGACAAGTGTAAAGAGTGACGTCAGCTCGGAGTTGTAGTTCAGCTTCTGCTATTGTAATAGACTCAGTTCAGTACTTTTAATATGACAGACTTCAAATCAGCATTGCTTTTTTGTCAATCAAATGACAAACAGTGAAAGCAGGATTAATGAACGAATAGTGTGACATTGGGTTCTCAACCATGGAAATTTAGAAGTCCCTACATGCTGTTCTTTCTGGCTCCATGTGCTAGTTAGGGGTCTGAGGTATCCGAAAAATCATGTGTTGAGTACCCAAAGGGTTCTGGGTGCCAGGAATAAGGTTATCAAAGCAGCGAAAATGACCGGTTTTGGACTATTTATGAGCTTTTTTGCCCATTTTCATGAGATAAAGAATCAGGAAAGCTGCTCTAGATGATTGAAATGGTTGATACCAATGAGGATACACCCAACACACATAAATATTCGTGATATATGTGATTTTAATGAGAAAAATATGATCTCAGGGTCCATTTTATACCAAAATTTGCCAAAACCACTCGCACTTGTCAAAGCTTCCTCATTTTAGACACATTTAATGATTATTATGGTATCTAACTTATGCAATGGTGGATCTGATAGGAGTATGCCTTAGCTTCATTTTAAGCCATCAATGAGCATGCTGGTGTGTATGATAGTACTTTAATTCTCCCGTCCATTGATATAGTCTGCTCAAGGCCATGCGTGCGCGCTTGTTACAAGCATGAATTTTCTTCCTCAGTATCTATCTAAAGCTTTTAAAGACATGATTTGAATGCTATCCTATGAGTGCTACAGGATGGTGAAAGAATTTCCATGAAAAATCATTAAATGTGGAAGATATGAGGTCATATGTGTGTGTGCTCACGCGCGCGCGCTTGTTACAAACTTGACATCCTCAGTACTTTCACATATACTGAGATTTTGTTTCAAACTTAATTGACTCTGAACCAAAATTGCCAGAGGAAACAGATAGTGTAACTCAGAAAGACCACAAATGGACAGTTTGTGAGATATCGAGGTTATAATCCAAAAATGTAACAATGATGTCACACCAGAAAACTCCTATTTTTGGTACGTTTAACCTCATATCTCGCACGCGCAGTACAGGATTGAGCTAAACTTGGTCAGGTTTTGTAGCCCTGACTATCCTCGATCATATGGAACAGGAATACAACTGTTTGGATGATATATCTTAATTATATTAGGCACTTAGTTCTGAAAAGTGAGAATGTCATTAATACTGCTTTCACTGCAAATCGTAAACTACCTCGTATGAACCTGAACAAAAACGTTTTTGAAGGCAGAAGACTGATCGTGACATTTTCAAGTTCTAACTATTAACCGAGCACGAAAGCCATTAAACCTGCACTGATCACGTGACACCATGTTGAATGCTGATATATATATAGAATAGTCACGTGACTAGATAATACCTTTATAAGAGTCAGGACCATTATCTTGAACTATGTGACTTTGCTGACTGCTGAGGCACTGTGCCAATAATGACCACAATCAACAGCGCTTCTAATACAATGGAAGAATATGTACAATGCACTACATTTTTACGTCTCAGGAACAGATAAAGTATTCATTCGTTTTGCAAGTAAATTTTATAATCGACAAAGAAGTGCAATTGGAAATAAATACACGATCTATTTTTATCTAGGCGTTAAAATTAAAAATCGTACATTTTATCTCACATAATAGTAATACAATAGTTTCAGTTTTTACCTAAAATTGTGGACACATTCTTAACTTTGCGCTATATAAAATATTACCTATCTATTCTGTGTTCTCAAACCTAAATTTCAGCCTTAACATAAGACACTGAATAATAATAAACAATAAACACAGTCCATCAGTTTATTTGGTTAGCTACAAATTTAAAGCAAACAGTTATAAAACTTGTTATACTGCATTTATTTAAAAAATGCATGCAAACACAGTACACACGAACTTAAATAACATAACATGTTTTAAACAATTCATAAATTTTTTCAAATTCAACAGTACAGGGTACGTTTTTCAAGTCTCGGCAAAATTTAAAAAGTAAAGTATCAACACTACAGTATACAATAAATATCAATTAAAATTAATTCCTACCATGTCAGAAACGCGAAAATCTCCGACTAAAATGAACCGACTTTGGAAAACCACTTAGTTACCTCAATTTCGATACCTAAAGTGTTGCAACATTTCCGATTTTCTGTAGACTTCTCTCCTCCAGTGCCACAGCTCAGTGTAAAGGAGAGTCTGAAAAGAGACCTCCAACAACCCTACTTGCAGCGATCCCGATCTTTCTCCGGCCGAAACCGAACTTTATCTCGGATACAATGTCATCCTTGTTCGGGCGAGAATCTGCAGCTTTTCTCATGTCTTTAACGGTGGGAAACACCTGTAGAGTAGAAATTTAAAAACCTATTTGATTTTTACCATATCATATTACCGGTCCTGGAAAAGCATTACTTGAATAGAAATTTCATCCCGCAGGATGAAATTAACTCCATTGAACTGGAGAGTAAACCACGGTCAGATGGCTGATAAAGAAACACGTGAACTTTAACCATCTGCACTGTTATTGTTTGGAATAAATCTTAAATTTCCCTTGAAGAGGTAGTCAGACTAAATAAATGGTGAAAAAATTTAAGGATTTATTAGTTCATGAGCCTGTGTTTGTTCCTAGACCTCATAGCACCAACTGGTGAGTAAAGAAGTGAAGCAGGCACGTGCAGCTCCACTGCAGTATCTTTTGTTAAACTAACTTTCTCGGAACCGAATTCTGCCCTTCCCTAGAAGTCGAACAAAAATTGAAATATTTTTTATTAGTGAACATGCGCTCTAAGAGCACGTGTTGGAGCATTATTCAAGAAACAAAGAGCTTTTATCAATAAAGCTCTTCATAGACATCATCATCAAAGGGGTAGGAGTGGCTAGTCAACAGAGTGCGAAGGTAACAGCTGAGGGGTCCTTAACCACGAACGGGACATTATTTATATCGGGGAGTTTGACCTAGGGGAAGAGTTGTTGGTTTGTCCTATCGAAGGATGGTTGGTGGTCGGAACCTGTAACTCTGGTTGAGTTCTGGTTGGCCGGGAGAGGGATCGATAGGGGACATAGTGTCATTGGTCATGGTGTATTTAAGGGGGCATACACCAAAACAGTGGTTAGTGCCGTCCAACCCAAATGACCTTATAATAGAAAATTTGATTTTTTGGCTTTGCAGATAAAAATGACTTTGTTTACAATAACTTCAAAGGGAAGCAGAATTCAATTTCATGTCAAGCATCAAAACAATCCGATCTTCCCTGACAGACTTTTTGGTTAAAATAAGCCTGAAAAGGACAATTTCAGCTTTTTGACTTTAAAAATTTATAACACACCAGCTTTTTTAGATACGATATCAATATTTTACACACACCTTGATATAGATGTGCATAGACGGCGAGCAAAATTTCAACCCGATACCGCAAGAAATGATAAACTTATAGCCTCTTCATGAAACAAATTTTGTTTTTCCGAAAATTCCACTCTAACCAGGAAATGCTCGATTACAAAAATAGGTATTCTCAAAATATTTTTTTGGTGTGGAAAAGGCGCGCTAGATGGTCACTAAACTGCCTATGAGGTCATTTGGGTTGGACAGGTTTGATGTATGCCCCCTTAAGGTAGGAGTTCAGCTTGAATATAGACAAGTATTGACGGCCGACTTTATAGCATGTCTGGATACAGTATTGAGTTTGTTTTTAGTGATTGTATTTCATATATCGTATATTTCTATCGTCTTATAATACGTGTAATAATTGTTAGGCCTTCAACGTCGGTGTACCCTTTGCTTACAAAACTACCACGAAGGTTTCACTATTGAGCCATGATAGTCCCCTGCACCATTTTACTAGCCCTACACTTAGTGTCAAGGAGCGGAGCCACACCGGACACCACACCAGTTGTAGCTCTCAAAGACGAGGCAGCGCAGATACGGAGTGAGGGGTATGAGGCAATAAACAGGGCAGAATCTATCAGAGAAAGAGCATACCGAGTTCAGGAAGAGGAGGTTGAGATGAAGGAGGAGGCATTGGAGATGAGGGAGGAGACTGCGAGCGCAAGATCAGCTTTGGAATCTCGCCTAGTGGAAACGTTGGTTGAAACTCTTGCCCTATTGAGAAGCGAAGCAAATGACACTAACCTTCATAGACAAGAGATAAAGAGCATTCTCAATAATGTGAAAGATAGGATAGAGAAGTTGGAATCGAAGGTGAAAACTCTTAAGGACCGACAACAAGCCTGGCTCTCTGAGGTTAGACTTATCTCGTTATATAAAATGAGCGGGCAAACAAGTACTTTTCCTGCCTATGGATTTGAACCTGAATTGATATCGGACGGTCAATTTGGATTTAGTCGCAGAAGCTGGAGTGGCATGGCAACTTACAGTCAAACAGCTAACAGTAACCGAGATAACAAGTTATGGCTTGAATTGGGAGGCTTGTTCAGAATAAGCAAAATAAAGGTTTGGAACATTAGAGACAGCAGGTGGAGAGAAATCATAGGTACGAAAATACTTGCCGACGAGAAGCTAGTCGGAACCATCACAGAAGCCCGAAGTAGCTACGACTTCACCGTGGCAGATGACGACCCAACCTACGCAAGGAAGGTTACCCTACACCAGCCTAGAGCACAGGATACACACATCCTGGAACTACAAGTCTGGGGTAGTGGCCCCTTCTCTACGGAGGACAAGTTCGCTTAACTTCTCAGCTTAGATGATTATAGGAACTGTTCGTGAGCGGTATCTTCTAAGACATGTAGATTTGAAATAGGTTGTAGCAGAAACATGTTACTTAAATTAAAATTCTAGAACTTCTTAAAAAATGATTTATTGGATGTTTTGGGAAAAATGGAATTTTGTCATTTTTTATGCATAAAACGTGTTCGATTAATATTGATTCTGAAATTTGTATACATACACATAATATAACATATGTTTTAGAGTAAAATTTTCTATACCACGACGTGTTCTTTCTCTTTAAAAAATTTAATTTATTCTTTCCAACTTTTGCATTGCATATACCAGTATTATTAAAAGTTAAACACGGTTTAAAAAAAAAAGAATTAATATGCGCTCATCATTAAAGCAGTAATCGATGAATTATACTAAACACAAATTTCTAAAATATAAGCTGAAAATGAAAAAAAAACCCACATACCTTCAATATAATACTATAATACCTCCGCCACTGAGTGCTGCGCGCTATAATTCCCGACAGCTTGCTGGAGGGAATTTGCGGGCACGAAGTTGCGGAGGTATTATATTTTATAATACGTTCCGGTTCCGATTGCAGAAGGGGTGTAATCCGATACGTGCGCATCATACAATATAGTGTCTAATATATAGAACGCCAGTGTTATTTGTTTTGAAACTTGCCGCCAGCCAGTCTGAGTCTGGGCTGATAATACCCTCGCTTCTCTTGCGGGAAAAATGAGCAAATTATCAGCCCTCGGTGTCCCCGAGTTTTAGTGGATATAATTCCCGGAAGGTATTATAATATAATATATGTTTTCATGGAGTAAAATTTTCTATAACATGACGTGTTCTTTCCCTTTAAAAAAATGTAATTCATTCTTTCCAACGTTTTTGCAACATCGAAAAAATGTTTTATCCTAACCCTAGTCATAGACATATCTTATCTCATTGCATATACCAGTATATATAAAGCAGTAGTCACTAGTACCCAGTAAAAAATCCCCTAGTCAATAGTCATCATACAAAAATCTTGGATTACATGCCTCGACATTATATGATATTTTACAACAAAATTTAAACACGGTTGAAAAAATTAGAATTAATATGAGCTCATCATTAAAGCAGTAACTAGAGTCTAGACATTTGCCATAGAAAACACCTTAGAACATTACTGAATATTTATTGGCCTCATCGAACAATATCCAATGCAAACTTATACCTAAGATCAAAGATGTAACTCAGTAAAGCTATCAGATCGTGTCCCTAAAGCAAGGTGGAAGCTCCTAGCTCATATCTTGCGTAGTGCTGATGACTCCCCCGCAGCATTAGCGTTAAAGTTTGCTGTCACAACAAACTGTAAAGGGCGCGTCGGTGCGCATCGTAAGAATTTGTTCAAGATTATTGGGAATGATTTGACCCGTAGAGGTTTAAAACTTAACTCTTTGAATGATCTTAATAAGCTTAAGATATTAGCCGATGATAGAGTTGCTTGGAGAAACAAATTTTTACTCTAGCTGTCTTGGTCTGTACTGGTCACCATTTTAGGATGACTTGATTTAATATTTTAATGGTGTAAACAGTTTCTTAATAATAATACTGTTAGAATAATTCTTCTAGGGATTTAGAGGGGTGAGCACAAGTAGACAATAGGTGAGTTACGACTAGAAAATTAGAACAGGGGAGTTTCAAGAAGCCTTTGTTGTGGTAAAATCCCAGGTGATCGGTAGCCTTTGTTTGTACCAAGCTACCGGTGGTTAAGAGCTTTGTTTAGGATTAAGAAGACTAGCAGATGGTAATTGGCATATTAAATTGTTACAAAGGTTGACGAGTGATAAACAGAGCAACATCTGGGTTGTTAGAGCTTTGTTGGGATTAGATCACGTGGGTTTCAAGTGGGTGGCTTATTGTCGGGCAGTCTGTCGGGTGGCCCGACTGGGAAAAAACCACGAACAGGACATTATATAAAGTTCGTAGAGTTCATAGAGGTTAGATTGAGTTTGCCCGATTCGATAGAGGGTCATTGATGCCGGACTATAAGGGACCAGGACCAGTTATGGTTAGGTCCTGGAGAGCACGGATGGGGCATGTCGTTATAGGGAGGTAAACGAGGGTTGACCGTAATATGTTGTATTAGGATAAGAGCATTAGATCTGTGGGCGTTTTTGGGCGATATAAGTCTGGTTAAATAGGAGTTAAAGTAGGAGTTTGTCGAATTAGTCATTGTATTATTATTTAAGTTAATATCTTGTAACCCTCGTTAATTACTCTTTTTCGTTGTTCGTACCCTAAATTGCTACAAATAATCTACGAATCTGAAGCAAGGGGTGACTGCTTACACATGATTCATTCAATCTGAATGATATTTAGAGAGATAAGAGGGAATCCAATTAAAAATCGCCTTCCCTTCAGGACACGTAGCACTAGAACTTAATACATTTTATCAACTTATTTTTGAGTTTTGTTTGTGAGACCAAGTTGATCGTCGTATTGTAAGCCGTGATTATTTGATAGATTTTAGGAAGTATTGTGTAATATATAATTATGCTAGTGATTTATAACTATGAAGTGGAAGAGGAACATCGAGTTCTGGTCTGCGTGAATATAGACAAGTATTGACGGCCGACTTTATAGTATCTCTGGGTATAGTATTGAGTTTGTGTGCAGTGATTGTATTTCATATATCGTATATTTCTATCGTCTTATAATACGCGTACTAATTGTTAGGCCTTCAACGTCGGTGTACCCACTGCATACAAAACTACCACAAAGGTTTCACTATTGAGCCATGATAGTCCCCTGCACCATTTTACTAGCCCTACACTTAGTGTCAAGGAGCGGAGCCACACCGGACACACCACCAGTTGTAGCTCTCAAAGACGAGGCAGCACAGATCCGGGATGAGGGGTATGAGGCAATAAACAGGGCCGAATCTATCAGAGAAAGAGCATACCGAGTTCAGGACAAGACGGTTGAGATGAAGAAGGAGGCAGTGGAGATCAGGGAGGAGACTGGGAGCGCAATATCAGCTTTGGAATCTCGCCTAGTGGAAACGTTGGTTGATACTCTTGCCCTATTGAGAAGCGAAGCAAATGACACCAAAATTTATAGACAAGAGATAAAGAGTATTCTCAATAATGTGAAAGATAGGATAGAGAAGTTGGAATGGAAGATGACAACATTAAAGAAAAAGATTTCAGAGCAAAAGGATGAGCTGACAAACAGTATTTCAAATCAAACAACCGTATTGGAGGGGCAGACAGGTGCATTGGAAAAACAGATGACTGCAATTGAGGAACAGAAGGCTGTATCAACTGCGGTATCACAAAAAGTTTCAGAGACTTTAGCTACGGCGCTTACTCTTAAGGACCGACAACAAGCCTGGCTCTCTGAGGTTAGACTTATCTCGTTATATAAAATGAGCGGGCAAACAAGTACTTATCCTTATGGACATGAAGCTGAACTGATATCGGACGGTCAATTTGAATTTAGTCACAGAAGCTGGGGTGGCATGGCAACTTACAGTCAAACAGCTAACAGTAACCCAGATAAAAAGTTATGGCTTGAATTGGGAGGCTTGTTCAGAATAAGCAAAATTAAGGTTTGGAACATTAGACACAGCAGCGTGGGCGAAATTATAGGTACGAAAATATTTGCCGATGAGAAACTAGTTGGAACCATCACAGAAGCCCTAAGTAGCTACGACTTCACCGTGGCAGATAACGACCCAACCTACGCAAGGAAGGTTACCCTACACCAGCCGTTAGCGCAGTGGCTTCACATCCTGGAACTACAAGTCTGGGGTAGTGGCCCTTTCTCTGCGGAGGACAAGTTCGCTTAACTTCTCAGCTTAGATCATTGTAGGAACTGTTTGTGAGCGGTATCTTTTAAGACAATTGTAGATTTGAAATAGGTAGTAGCAGAAACATTTGACTCAAATTAAAATGCTAGAACTTCTTAAAAAATGATTTATTGGATTTTTGGGAAAAATGGAATTTTGTCATTTTTATGCATAAAACGTGTTTGATTGCTATTGATTCTGGAATTTGTATACATACATAGAATATAATATATGTTTTAGAGTAACATTTTCTATAACATGGCGTGTTCTTTCTCTTTTAAAAAATGTAATTCATTCTTTCCAACATTTTTGCAACATCGAAAAAATGTTTTATCCTAACCCTAGTCTTAGACATATCTTATCTCATTGCATATACCAGTATATATAAAGCAGTAGTCACTAGTACCCAGTAAAAAATCCCCTAGTCAATAGTCATCATACAAAAATCTTGGATTACATGCCTCGACATTTTATGATGTTTTAAAACAAAAGTTAAACACGGTCGGAAAAAAATTAGAATTAATATGAGCTCATCATTAAAGCAGTAATCGATGAATTATACTAAACATAAATTTCTAAAAAAAAAGCTGAAAATGAAAAAAAAACCCACATACCTTCACAATAGACTCGGCCTTGTCTTGAGATATCTTAGGAATCCGGGCCAACTGTTTCAACCAGACCTCACCGACACTGAATACCCTGTTCTTAACACTGTGCTGGGAGAAGGAGCTGAAGGTCAGGAGCTGTGTGTCTGATGTACACTTTGGATCCGTTATACCGCTCAATTCCTCATCTGAACATATTTTCTTGTGAGAATTTTCGATGCGTATTTGCATGATTAGTTGGGAATATCGACGCAAAACTGGCTGAAGCTGAAGGTAGGTTTCGACGCGATTTTTCATACAAAGGCGGAAATGGGCGATAGGAAAGTCTCTGCCTTGTTAGCGATATGAGTAATGACTAATGAGGGGGTAAAGGTGCTTGCGTTAGGGGGACATTCTCAATGATCCCATTGAATTTTTCAGCATTTGCATTTAGCAATGTGGACTGTTGCTTCAAGGATCTAAGATAAGCTTCATTACCCTCCTTTAGGGTTCGCTACCCACCTTCCATACTATGGTTCCACTGATATATCTTATTTTATTCATTACATTACTATGCCAACTATCAATTTAGCTCATCTCGACGTCAATTTATTTTTGTAACAAAAATTTAACTGAAATATGGAGTAGATAATAGAGAGTAATTATGACGATAGCAGTATAATTTTAAATTTATGCAATATTACTATTTTATAATAACGTGCGTGGCCTGGATGCGTGTCATTGAGAGAAATAGTGATCACCTGTTTAAATTCCAACAATTAGACACGCCTTCAGAGTCTTAACCTCGAGATAAAGCTGTCTAATTCAATTTTTAGACAGTTCCTATTATAAAATTATGTCAATTGTGTTCAGAAAACGCTATGCAGCATGATATGATTTAAAAACCTAAAATTATTTCACATTGTCATCATTTATCAGTAATTGTAACATAATTATAATAATTAGCAGAGAAAGCCTTTGAGCCCTTAACCAAACAAACGAATAATTTTGCTTCAATTTCGCCAAATTTCGGTCATGTTCCGTCGATTAAAATAGAACAACCAATCTTGCAACAGCTGTTCAGCATCAGAGTTACTAGGGTCAATTTAGTGATCAGTGATCAGCGAAGCTGGTTTATTTGAGAATTATTACAATCTAATCGCTGAGTTTGCTTACTTGACTGCGTGTTCTTATGTCAGCGAATAATAATATTTATTTTTCTTTTTTGCTGGTATTTCAATGCCCCATACAAGACGAAATCATTAAAACGAAATTCAGACAAATTACAGCTGATTGAGGTAACGATGATAGTGACACATCTTTAATCATTGAACTGCGAGGAATTTTAAAACTTTTTTGATGTGGGATTATATCATATACCCATATTATAAGCTCATGACATTGCGAGACATGAGTGTTTTAGCTGGAAAGGGTAAAATTTCCCCGAATTTGACAATTAGTTTAATTAGTTAGTTTATTAGTTTAATGTTGCTGGCTGTGGGCTTTATGCCCCATTAAATTTGAGCTTATTACCCATTTGACGGACTTTGATCCGGGGGAATGTTTTGCAGAACAGATCTATATATTATTATTATGGCTGCCAGCACTTAATTCATGGCCAGGCTTTATCTTTAAATTGCTTAAACTTAGCGGTTCGATGTCAAAATTCAAATCTAAATACTTAAGTGATATGAATAATTTTCTGTGATAAAAAGATAAAAGCTAAAATGTAAAGTTTTGAACTTGAAATAAAAAAGCCGCCATTTACCTTGGTACTTGTTGCTGAGATATCTTGTTAGTATAGTTAGGTAAGCTGCGGTCTCTTTGATATCCTGAGTCTTTTTTATGGTAAAACCGTCGATAACCTGGGGTAAACCAATAATAATCTAGATGTTCCGAACCTGATTTCGGCACGGATCAGGACGTCATAATTGATTTGACGTTGTAGGAATAGGTAGGTAATTACGGTAATCACGGTAAACATTTATAAATTTCATACAAAAGTGTGGCAAGACAAGGGACAAACGACACAGTGCGATATAATAATGTGTACACCTCGAGTTGTAGTTCCTGCAGTATGAGGGATATGTGGACTTGGAGGATAATGGTATAAGTTCTATCATCATCTATGACGCTCGTTGTTGACACCCGATTGGCGATTATTTGCTATGACAAGATTGATTTTGTGTCACTTTTGGTCTTGAACTTGATTTTATACCACATGTTTTGATAAAAATTAATGTCAAACCCTTGACAATTTAAACAGCCCTACGGCCAAGGGTCAACCGAGGGCAGGATTTGCGACCGAGGCCGAGGAAATTTTGCTTTGATAAAACCGAGGCCGAGGCAAACCGAGGAATTGTCCTCCTGACCGAGGCCGATGAAAAAACGCTATTCCTCGGTAAAACTGAGGCCGAGGACTCGGTCGACCCTTGGCCCTACCTGAGTATTAACCACAGCTTGATTGAGAGACTGCTCGGGCAGACTCAAGTAACTGGCTTTAGTCTCCACCAGATAAACTCTCCGGGCTAGACCACAGGATTTTAGTCTCAGCTTCTGTTCAGCAAACCTAAAGTATGTCAGATGGTTAAAGTGGGTAATTGCTCTTCTGGGTTATTACAACATTGTGTCAGTCTAGAAGTAAAGTTAATCTAAGCCTCTAAAATGTAAATTTAAATTTCCTTAATTCTTGAGGAGATCAGCATGTCGGGTATAATTTGCCTATAATCTCGGCTACGGGCTATCTTGTTTCCAGTGACAATTTGTTGGCTTTGTTCAGTTTAAGGCTTCAGATCTTGTCAAACATCATCCCAGATGCTGCATGAAATATGTGAAGGAAGGTTCGGCAGAACTAAAAGAATTCAGCAGAATTTTAGAACAAAAGATGAATTATATAATTTCACTAATAATTTCACTAATAATTTCACTAATTTCACTAACCTGCCCCCAGTTATGCTCTGAGCTAAATCGTCCATTCTCTTCCTCTCTACCACTACATCTAGTACTAGTTCCTCGCCTGTACTGTCCACTGCTATCCACAGGAAATCACCTATCTGGTTAACAGAATTTGTTACAAAACTGAGGTGTGAAACTTTGAAACCGTTCTAAGAAAGCTAACAATCATTTTGTAATAAATGTTTGGATTTATTTCTACGTTTTGAATGAACGGTTATCTCCAGTATTTTAAGAGGATTGAAAATATTTCAAAGGGATTATTTAAAAAAAAGCGATAAGCAAGCATTCGATCGATTTTATGCCTAAAATAGTTAATTGCCTTTTGTTCAAAGACTTATCAGCCGCCAAGTAGCCACGGCGGTTGGTACCCGTGTGAAATTGTTAGTAAAATTACATAACATGGTACTTTGAGATGAAGGAATTAATTAGCAGTAATTAGCATCGGTATCTGGTCATTGGTCAATAGCCGTTGGATAAAGATTTTGAATGAATAGCTGAGTTTGTTAAACTGGTGCTCGGGTCAATTTCGTGATAATTATTAGCGGGCATTGAGCCGATCAAAGGCAGGCAGGTTTTATACCAAAATCTGATGTTCGTTATTTCCAACGTGAAGAACTTTGCCCAGATATTTAATCTGTTAATATTTTGAATAAATTAAATTCGAAATACTCCTATGTAGCAATTAATTGAGCGGCATGTACGCGATATATTGAAAATCATCACCGAATTTGTTGATTGCCACTTGCGAATAAGTTTAATTTTCCGACAATTTGTTGAAATAAACTCGCTCAATGAAGCACGGCACTTACTCAACTTCATAATTTGGCCAACAGTCGCGACAAAATATAAGGTTTTAATGACGGAAGAGTTAACGAAGTCTCAATTATCGCCATTAGAAAGAAGGACTTGAGCAGCACTCACCACCGCACCATGCGTGTCCATCATTAAAATATATGAAATATCTCCTGCTTTGCTATTAAGTCCGATAGAGTATTTCCCTACCAGAATATGGAATATAGATGAAGCAAGATAACAGTTCTTTGCATAGATTCCTTAAAATCATAAACTATTGAGATATATTTGTAATATATGATCTGATCAGGATAGGAGGTTCCATCTTCATTAGTCGTTCACATACAAAGCTAAAGGTGAAATTGTTTTGATATATAATTAGGTAATACAACTTGTATTTCTGTTTGTAAAAATACTTTTCTATATAAAACTACTATAAAACTATATAAGCATCTATCGAGGAAAATATTTCGTAAAACTCAACGATCAAAAGGAATAAATATAATTTGTATAAAAACTATCCATTTAAAAAATATTGAAACTTTACGAATAAGTACTTTTCGTTATACTTATATTAGTGCGCCTAATCATCTTTTATTTTTGGATGGTAATATTACTATGGTAAATGGTAATATGACTATGGTAATAGTACTAGAGGCCAACATTACAGTACATTACTAAGTCAATTAGTTTCTTTAGCTCTATCTATCTACTCGTATTAATAGACCATATTTTAGATATTAATAAATATTTTTAATGGTTTTGAAAAAATGTAGTGCGTAAGCCTAAAAGGCAAAATTTCAATATTTCCGCTTCGCTGAAACATTTTGCAATCTTCGACAAGTAGTTGAATATTTTGGGAGAATTGAGAATTAATAGAATCTGGAAAATGAACGGCGATTTCTTTGGAATGAAGAGGGCTTTATTTGTTCAATGCCAAAAAAGCTCCGGCATTCTAATTAAGACTTTTAAAAACAAAATGACCAGTCAGGCACTTAATTATCTCCCTACGTCAGGCAAATATGTTCATAGTTTTTATTCTGATAATACTGTTAATTTGGTGTTTACAAGATGGACAGTGCTCCTGATAATAATGCGACATGCAGTGACCTCGAAAGCAGACTGGCTGCAGTATTCTGCAGAAAACTGTTTGAATAGCCGATATTTTGACATGCTAGCACACAGTTCACTCCAAATTCCACGAATACTGACAGAGAGTAGACAATAGTTAGTGTGTTAATTGCGGGGGAGGAGGACCTTACCAGGAGGACTATCACTTGTCAGCTCCAATCAGAAGCTGTTTGTAATAGTCACGTGTACTTTTTTAACCAATCCTCTTTAAGGTTTCGATTTATAGAGATACGCTAAGATGACAAGCCAGTCTTTTTTATTTAAGTTGTTCGTTGATCATGCTCCTATGCTAAGAAATAACTAAAATTCTAAATTGGGAACCGATAAACCTTTCCATAGAAGCGTTTGATATCGTACGAAAATTATGCGACTTTAAAGTTTGAATTGTTCTTTGAGTAATCTACTTGAACAGCCTGCACTAACATATCCAGAATATTTCTACCGATATAACTGATACATTACAATAAAAAGCTATAATCGGTCGTATTGTTAAACTTTAAATGATCTGACGATCAATATTCTGAGAGAAAAGAGAATTGTTCAGCCAATTGCATGCTATACTGTGGTACATTTTAGAAAGCATATATCTCGTGTGCTTTAAATATGCTATGGGAAAATGTCTTATCTGTGCCCTCATTAAATTGTCTGCCGTTTGTAATGTGCGTGTTTTTATGTAGGAGCTTTAGAGTTTGGATTGCTTTTATTTTTATTGGCCTTTTTTGGGGTGTATGAAGTTCTTAGGGCTTTTTATTTCTAATTAAGTGAACTTTTAGATATGACTATTGAGTATTGTCTAACTAATTCCTCAATTAATTGTTAATGTTTATCGTTCAATATTCATATCGTGAGCTTCGAGAAGAGATCAATAACTGAATTTTACAAGTTACAAGACAGTTTTACATTTTATTTTGTTTACTTCTTGTCAGATTAAATGCCGTCAGTTAGCGATAGAACGGGTTACAGTCTTTTCTTACAAGAATATTTAGACCTAATTACGATTCATTTCCCCCATCTCGCCACCAATTTATTCATTTCTATCACAATTTATTACCATCTGCTCTTCTATGCACATCTATCGGACTATTCTAACGTTGAATGCAATTACAACAGGGATATTTATTAGGCTCAATCAGTTGTAGTTGGCGCGGGATACTGTTTCAAAGTTTGACTTTATAAATTATAACGGCACCTTCATATGAACCCATCACACTGACCAGCTGCCAGCAATAAACCTAGTTTCTTCCCCTCCCCATATTAACGAGCTGCAGGTTTATCAAGGTCACGAGGTCACGAGCTTGTAAATCGGAAGGAGAAGAACTCACTTTTATTAATATTGGAACATCTTTTCAGTGTTGAAATCTTAAGGAAAACTAAGACTGTATGGGGTTAATTAGCTAACCATGTGCTAAGGAGAAACTAACAAGCTGAGCCACGGTAACCACGTGATCGAGTTTATCACGTGACCACGTCTTATAAAGAGGTCATGAAGGCCTCATTACACCGTTGTAATAAGTGGGCTATGTCCCCACCAATATCATTATCTGGTCCTGTAACGTCTCAATCCATGTAATATTTCTTGGATGCTACTAAAGGTCTATGGAGTATTGGCTGATCTAGTTATCTTTCGTCAAGGAGTGAAGTACTAACACAGTCCCGCTGATTGGGAGGAGATATTCCAACTTTATTCATATCTCATACCGACTATAAGAAACCCTTGGCCATATTTACCACCATAAACTGCATACCTTTATCTAAACTTCTGACTATGGCAACTTTTTGTGCCTGACAAGCCTGCAGCTCCAATAAAGAAGATTTGTTTGCCTTCTCCAGCCTCAATGGTTATTGCCATTTTTTATTTTTTTGGTAACTTAGATATTTATCAGTTGTCAAGCCATGCGCAAACAGGCTCGGACAGAGCCAATGATACTGTCTGATGGAGTTTGTGGAAGTAGGTTGTTTTTTTCCCCCAAGTTTCTTGATTGATTTTTGTTTTAGTTTCATACCGGATGATATATGTTTTAATTTAATTTGCCACAATGTCTGCCCAATACTTTCAATATATCTTTCTGTACCTTACCTGATTCGCTTCACGACAAATTATATCACAACACATTTAATAATTCCAATTTCCAACCGATATATTTTAATAGAAATTATAACCCTTACCTGTAGCTTCCTGACATTGTAAGAAACTCCATTTTTGTCCAATTCCTGAAGGAGAATTTTCTGTCGTTTGGTATTTACTTCAGCGTTGTCAACACACAGACTGATCCTGCGGGAGAATTACCTATTTAAATTTAACAGTGACTACTAATTTTTGATATTTCAATAACAAATATTTATAATAATATTCGTAATAACTTTACGGTGAAATTTTTACTGGTCCGGCATGTCTCTAAGCGTTTTTTCGGCATTTCAAGGGTCAGGGATTCGTCGGTAAGGTTTGTAGACGCAAAAAATTAGGGTGAATGTCAGATTGAGAAAAATTCTCATTCTCATACCCAAACCTAAGCTGAATCTTACATTCTTTGCGCCGACATACCAAGTCGGGGAGTCCGGATCCCTGTGATTTGGTCTGATAAGGCAGTGTGGGGGGGGGGGGGGGGGGGGGGGGGCAGTGTTTTACAGTGATTAATTTAGCAATCTTAAACCATGGCCAAATGGATATATAATACTTTTCTTACTCCATAGTAAGGAGTCCATACGACGGTCGTATTTAATTCGTCCATCATTTGTTCAGAAATTGTATTGACAAGAGATATAGTATGATATTGGCCATGATATCGTATTCAAACGATTCGTGATTAATAACCAAAATCGACATTGGTTATTTATAGATGAAAAAGAAGTCATTAATTATCTTAACCACCAGTTTCGTCGACACAATGAAATTAAAAGACAGCCAGATGACAAACAAAGGGGACCAGGAGCACCTTATAACACTGAGACAAATCGGTTCAAGGTTTTATTTATTATTAATTAGTTTTTATTAGTCAGGGCAGGACTTTATGAGTAGAATAAAAAATCTTGTATAAATGTCCTGTGGGATCCATTTTTGCCGTCGCAAAAAATTACCGATCATTAGACTGAACATCAACAACATTATTGCTTGTTTCATTAATCAGTTGTACGACTTTTTTAGAAGCAATTGGAGACATAAGTCTGTAAAAATTGGTTCATATGTAAAGTTGCACAAACTTGAAAGTCTTTGGTTTGAATTTAAATAGGATCGTAGCAGTCTTTGCGGGATGGGCATCAGTCAAAAGAGGACATCGCCCATTTGATTTCGTTACACTACAACTTGGTGCGCTTTCGTTTAAATCAGGTGGAACCGTGTTTCTATTTGGCGGTTTCGAAACTGTTGACGTCGGGATCATGTCAAAAACTCCGGAAGACGTTGGAATTTCCCGTTTTGATCCAGGTGGTTTGTTTGGCTGATAAGTAGGAGACCTAGAGGATTGCTTGAGCCAGGGTGCGTTGGAAGGAGGTTGTAGTCCTGTACTGATGACCTGGCTAAGTCTATCGTTGTCAAACCAACTGTGGTCGAATTCATCTTCCGAGTCTGAGATGTCAGGCAGAGCCGCCTTTTTCGGTAAACCTGAAATGTTTTCAAAATTTGTAATGTGCTTTTCTTTTTTCCTTTCAAAAACTCTGCAATTAAACCAGGAATTTTGTAAGTTCAGGAAAAACGTTCAGCCACACAAGTTGTTCACACCATATTCCCGTTTAATCGCTAAAACTTTAGTTTAAGTTCTAAAGCGACTCATTGAAAATTCTAATTATAGGATCAGGTGGGAACGTCAATCTAAACAATAATTATAATATTTAACATATTAACATATTTAGTAGGTCGAAAGGAAACATGCAACTGCACGTATCTAATGAGGGTACCTACAGCGCTATTCTATATTATTCATATTATAATTAATGTAAGTACAATGAATGTAATTCTTTAACCGTCCATTTTGTTGTGTTCGTTCATGCGTTCAATTGCACCCAAATAGACATTTATGTAAAGCTTATTACATATTGTCCTTATCATATTATGAATGAATCTATGCACAAAGCTATTCAACACAAAATGATTTTACCTTGTTTTTCGACACTCGACGACTTAAGTTTCGTCTTGTCCTTCGGTGCGCTCTTTCTCGACTCCTGATCAGTTGGGTTGGACGAGCGATTTTCGTTTGTCCTAACTTCTTCAACTAATGTTTCCCTGGGCTTAGTTTTCAGAGCTTTCAACCGAGGCAGACCCGGCGCCTTGAGGGGGCAGTACGATACTTCCACATGTATAACTTTATACCTGGTGTCAGGTATGTTGGTATGTTTGGTATGGTTGGTATGTTGATCATCCTCCTCCACATATAATTTATCACAATGTCCCAGTGTGCTGCTGTACGTTTTAACCCTCAGCCACAATCCTGAACGGGGATACGTTAATGGTTTGGGGGGTCGCAAAACTAAAAAATCTGTGACGTAACCCAAGGTGCAATTCATGCTAAAATCTGGCGGAGCGGGAGGTTTGTCAAAGGAAACCTCGTTAAATGATTAATGATCAGTTGTGAGCCCACTAATTGGTTATTGTGATATTGACCATCGTCATTGGGCCCTGAACGGGTCAACAACAGCGCAACCAAGGGAAACTGTGACCTTGTTTTGAGCGTGGCGAACAGGGGGTTTAAACTAATAATTTGCAACTAATAACCGTGTGATGGTCTCCTATTTTAATAAGGTCTCCGCTTAGTATTCGACAATTGTTAACGCTGCTTTGTTCCTTTTCTCGTACTTGTCAAGAGGGTGTCTCAGCTTATTCTTTCTTTCATGCAAGAACATGTTAATTTATTAGGATGCAGTGAAACTATCGGACTACGATGAATGGGGACTTGCCAGCCCATGGCAACATTAAAATATATTGACTCTGTTACATCGTTTCATGTCAATATAAAACTCCGCTACAAATTGAACTGGGATATAATATATATGTAACTATAAATTCATATGAAATTTTAATACTGGATCAAGTGGTAAGACAAGTAAAGAGCCTAGATTTTGGTAACGGGGATATCTATGACAAATTTGTAAAAAAATCTTTATTCGTAATGCATACTTTTTGATATCTACGAATATAAATATAGGAGTATGTATATAAGGCACTAGGTAAAGATAATAATCGTTATATTTCAGAAAGTGATATACTTTCTCATTAATTTCAATCCTGATGTTTCAACGATTGTAAGATATACCATATTCAATCGTCCGTTCGATTTATCACTGATATTAATTTGTCGGCTATGAACATTAATCATATTTAAACTGCTTAAATCATACAGACGATATTAAACATTTTTAATTGAGAACCATAATTAGAGATCTTAGTGGAATAATAATTACACTACAAAAGGTGTAAAGTTCCTCTAACTCAGGAAAACGCCTTTTTAAAAGATAGAGACGATTATCTTAACCCGTGTTGTCATGTACAGATGTAAGGGATACAGTAAAACCCAATTTATAAGGGCGCAGTAAATCACAGCAGTTTCAGTGAACCGGTTATATAGCTCACACCCATACAATATTTTACATGGTTTCAATTAATCATCTAACGGCAACACTTTCGGTATTAAACTTTGAAGCGATTTACCGAAATTATAACAATTCAGTTTGCCTTGACAATTATGTGTGAAAAGTGAAAGACATTGCACCAGACCATCGTGTCTGAAGGAAGTATTGGCGGATAAATATTATTGCAACCGAGCACTGCTGTAATTTCAGGTTCCTCCAGGTTCCATGAGAGCCCACAGAGTTTTAACCCAATTTTTCTGGATATTTTTGTGTCAACACGAATAAGGGGGATACTCAACACTTATTTTTCGATACTCAGAATCATTTTTAAGGACTCAACACCTCGCTTTGGGGCAGTACTTAAGTTAAAGTTCTGTTAGATATCACAGCAAGACCGTTTTCGACTCATCAACACTTGATGCGCTTTTTATTGATACTCCATTCATCCTACTCCCATCCAATTATTCATAAATGGCGGTACGGAAGGGTTAAAAACCCAACAATTATCGAGCACTCAATTAGTTTATCGGTCTCTTTATGCCAATGTTCTTTTCTTTTATGACACCTCTTTTATTGTTATTTGCAAAAAAAGCATTACAAAAGAGACTTAGTGTCGCTTTACCGAACAATGTGAATTACAATTAATTATCAATAATTATTAGGGCCATGCACCAAGTACCTGATAGAACATTTAGTCTATAATTAGGGTCATTTGTTGCACGGAAACGAAACCATTCCTTTATCGAGATTTAGGGGAGTTGTGATTTAGTAAATGGGAGGGGGGGGGGGGGGGGGGGGGGGGGTGCGGGGTGAACCTTTAAAGAGGAAACAAACAAATCGGCAAAGGAGTTTCTGTGATAATATTCATACTTCTTATCACCGGTTTTCTGTGAATTTACAAATGCATTATATACATGGTGGGCCAAAAGTCAGTACCCATACGTTGGCCTTAATAGCTCCGCCGTGTTTTATATTTGAGAGCTGTTGCTTTGCAGATGGCATACTGTACTTACTGGTTCGAGGATTCCGTCGTCAAAATTTGAAAATTCGAATATTTTAGACCACGCCCATTCAATATTAAAACACCTATATTGTTTTTTCTGAACATGCTGAACGCCTAATTTTTTCAGAGACGGTAGATTATCAAATGTTGCATATGATCTGAAAACATGAGGCAAAACGGATTATAAATGACGAAGTTATCAAGCATTTTCTGTATCTCGTTAACAATATTGACTGGGTGATTATGTGACACCGTGACACGACACCTTAATTGGGCACCCTTAACAATTCCCATAATGTTTAACGGGGTAGTTAACGGGGGCACCTTATCACGTGATTAGGTAAACCAATCACCTGATCACACGTAATGAATAAACTCGTTATAGCGTTATGCTTCATATCTCGGTCATCTGAGAAGCTACAGTTCTAATTCTTTCAGGACAAACGTAATTCGAATGGCCAAACACAATTCAATAACATTTAGCTTGATCCGACTATCCAAACTATCAAATAAATGTGAAAATGAACCTCCATTTGAAAAAAATGAACGCGAATATTTTTCGAGTTGACAAATTCCTCGAACCAGTGGTGGTACTAAGTCATACCAGAAAGAAGTATTTAAATTGGGCACTCAGTGACTGAGCTATAAAGGCCAACGTATGGGTACTGACTTTTGGCCCACCCTGTATATATATGATAGGGGCACGGTGAAGGGCCAACGGGACTACTATTTATTTTTGACGGGCCAACTTGCAATTTCACCTCTTTTTATAAAACTTAATATATTTTACGGTCGCCATAAGCTAGACCTCAGACCTGCCACCCACGTTGGGTTAAGTTGTGGTTTACTTCGTCAAGTTAGCTCCTTAGTTCAATGTAACTACATCCGGCTACATATGGGGAGCTTACTTGACAGTGACATGTAACATGTACAAAACAACAAGTACTCCGTATTCGGATCTTACTTGACACTGACACTGACATGTATGATGTTACACGTTCAAAAACGACATGAACACGTCCCCCTGCCGCCCCTTTAACAACGCCGCACAACTCAAGGGTTCCCCACAGTTTCGTTGTATTTTAAGTCTACGTTTCCGTTTTACCCACCCGTCATGTCGTTACTCTCGAGGAAGGCAGCTCGGGATCGGCTCACAGTTTCGTTGTTATTTTCGTCCAAGTAGGTGAACCGCCACTCACCAGGCGGCGGCTCGGACAGTCCAGGATCTGAAAGGTCCTCTCCGTTAAGAATGCTACACTCTGGTGTCGGGGACCAACTAACCATAGGAGGGGTTCCTGTAGAATGTCATGGGTTTCACGAGTGTTCAAATTACAAGCAATATTGAGCGTTTTGTGATTAAGTATAGTTTCAGATTTACTGCAATCACACCACACCAAGTTTGGATTTAAAATGTTTCATCTGACCGGAGTGTTCGATAAATAAAATAATCTCCCACCTGGACTATCAGGCTCAGATACATCCACTGGATCCACTGGAGCTGTATATGTTGCACTATTCGTTGAGGGAGACAGAGATTTTATATGGATAGGAGAAGGTGATTTGCCTAAAATGGGAGAGTGAGATTGTGAAAAATTGGTCGGAGGTGATTTGCCTAAGATGGGAGAGGGAGATCTAGAAAGGTTTATGGAAGGGTGCGCTGGTCCGGGTTGTGATTCCCCAGATGATAAGGTCCCTCTAGCCTTTTGTTCTTCTTCTATCTTTATAGGGGTGAAACACGGACTTTTTCGGTAGTGAAACGGTTCTGGTTTAGTTCCTCGCTTTACAGGCGACAAGGACGGGCTACTCGATCTTTTAACTGGAGAAGACACGATTTCAATTCTTTCTCGTTTGCACTTTTTCTTAGAATTACTGATGTTGTTGCTGCTGCTTGTGGATATGAGCTCACTTGTCTCCCTCTCTATTTGTTGAATAACGTTGTCGAATTCCTCTTGGCCTGAAAAATAAGAGGGTTAAAAAACTTTAAATTAAATGCTGTGCAATTCTCATCCTTCAACGTGTGCGGCGTTATATCGGAGGGGGGGAGGGGGGGGGGGGGGGGGGGCCGGGGGGACATACACTTAGTAACGTACGTGACGTTGGGGGGGGGGTACCTGATCCCCCCCGGTTATATCCACCCCATGTTTAAATACAGTAGTATTACAAGGCTTATTCAAATCAAGATAAAGTTGACCCACACTGTGTACTGACACGTCGTTTAAGTGACAACGTTTTATATTACACAATTTGTGTTTACATTTAAGTTACATCTCGATACTACTGTTTATTGCCGTTGCTTTCCAAATTTACAAGGTGTAATTTTGAGAAAATAAAAAGCGCTCATACGTTTTATAAGAGATAAATCGTCAACACGTAGGGTTTGAATTATTATATTTGGATACCCTCATGGCTCATACTTTAGCCTTAATATCACTATCACTTATCACTAGGGTCAGAATGTTGAAAGATGAATGGTGGTGAAATGTTCAATACAGTTACACCTATGATGGAGAACATAACCGAGACTTCAGGCCAGCTATTCACATGGAAACCCCTCCTAGAAGTGGACTTCACCATGGGGGTCCTCCTCTTAGCCTGCTTCTCCTGTGGACTCTTCGGCAACTGCATAGCATTCAAGTACTTCTCAACACAACGCCGAGACCTCTCCAACATAATTTACATAATGATCGTCGCAGTTGACATCATCAACTCTGTCCTGATGTTTTCACCGGGAGTGTCCTATTTTAAGGAACGTTCCCCCTTCCTCCTAACCTACCGCTGGATCTGCAACTCTTGGGGGGTGGCCTTCCACGTCAGTTCCAGGCTGAGTGTTTTCTTGGTGGCGACTCTGAGCATCTCCAGGACAATTAGCCTGACTTTTCCTTTTAAACAAGTTAAGAGAAAACACGTGTTGATACCCACGGGGGTGTACTTGTTTACACTTATCATACCGGCCCTGTTTCCATTCTACTACGGGAAGGAGTACATGTTAGTATATCAGTAGCCACAACTATACCTTATTACCATTTTAAACACTTTGCGTTTCTTTAACTTAGCAAGTCATTCTGTGGTCACTTGTTTCCTTTTTTATCATAAGAAACTGATTTTTTAAATGTTAAAATCGTTTAGATAGTATGAAACGATGGCACCTCGGTTTTTTAAAGAGAGAATCTTTCAAATACGAATTTAAGAAGGCAGGACCCGTTTAGCTGGAGTATCTGGTGACTAAACACTGGTCTATTTCAGGTACGACGAGTGGACGGTACTGTGTCTCTGGGAATCCTTCGCTAGCGACGTGAACCCCAAAAGCGTAATGTTCGTTATAATATATGTGTGCATCATCCAACTACCCCTCCTCCTTCCCTTCTTTCCTATAGCTTTCAGCTGTTTGGTCTCCTTCTACCAGCTGAGAAAGAAGAGTCCTTTCAGTGGAGACGGAATCACTCAACTGAAGAAGAGATACGCCTCCCAAACGATCGTCTTGGTTACGATCATCTACATTACCCTAAACTTTCCCGTGTGCATCTTCATCCTGCTGGAGGTAATCCAGGTGATCATGTTCCAGTTTGGGTACCCCTACGGGTTCATCCTGGGTACCAACATGAACATACAGATCTATCTGAGACTTCTGCTGGCCGTGTACTGCGTGGGAATCAACGCGGCGGTCAACCCGATAGTCTACTTGTATCGGTTCAAGGGCTTTAAAAAGTACTCAAACAGCTTGTCCAACCGAGTGAGGGATAAGATAAAGTATCGGAGGGTAAATAAGAACTGTGGAGATATGTCCGCTATTCCACTGGGAATCAGGCAAGTGAGCACCACGCCTTTCAGCTTCAGTGGCAATCATATTTATGAGCTTCAGCCATCCAAGTGGTGCTCGGAACAGACAAAAATTGACGATGATAATTCTTACAGTGAGCTTTGAGTGGCTCATGTGGTGCAGTGTGAACCCTGGATACTTATAGGACAAATAATGATATTATCTAGGTACAAGGTACTGTAACAGTGTAACAGTTGTGGCCTAGTGGCTGGTAGGATTATTTAAAGAGTGGTTGTGGCCCTAATTTATAGTTATCTGAGCTATTGGAGATTGGTGAGGGTTGATAGATTTTATACGTTTAAATGTTTAAAAAGACTGCAAAACTGATTTGATAATAAAATATTGATATATTGACCCTTAAATTTAACAAAGTGTTTTATTTTCTTTCTGTTTTAATGACAGATTATCAGCTGGCAAGATCAGCAGTCAAGTATCCTTAGCGTAAAAAGCGACCAAAAATTATCCTCTATGATGTGTCAATTTATCGATTGAAATTGGAATTTATTTGAATAATTAGCTATCTAGAGCTAACGTAGCAAATTTCCACGCTTACAAACAATAATTTAGATCAAAGTTTTAACAGGTATTTCACTCGGTACCGCGACAATTACCTGTTAATTGACCCCCGACAATTGACTCCTTAATCCTTATGTAATTACACTGGGGTCAATTGTCGCGAAATCTACTTCTAGGGCTTAGTACGACAATTGACCCCCATGTAATTACACTGGGGTCAATTGATCGGGTTAGGGATAGGGTTAGGGTTAATTCTATTAAATTATATTATCGGAGGGTCAATTGTCGCCCACCCTTTCAATCTTCCTCCATGGGTGGCTGTGAAGACTGATAAAAACCACTTCTTCCGTAAGATGGTGCATTTTGTAGACTTAAGTAAAAAAAATCCAGATTCGAAACAACAACGACAAAAAACAACAACAAAAAATACCAGTCCTGCCTTAATTCGCAGTCACATGACAGTTGACTGTACTTACTTGGACTGGAGAGGGGAGTCGTCTTCTTGCGTTTTCGGTTCTTTGTCAAGAGTTCCTTCTTCATTTTCTCCCTCACAGTCGGTAGTTTCTGAGATATTGGTTGAATTATTTCAAAATTATCATCTTGGCGAAAACCCAAAATTGGGTGAATAGAATAAAAGGCGAGTGATGTCGGTGCTATCCTAAAAGTTCAGAATATTTTAGAGGCTCGGAACAGCATTTTAGGTTCTTGTTTTTATTTTCGGCGGCTCTACATCACTGATTAGGGAGCAGCACTTATCTAATACATATTAGCTGCAAAAAGCCTCTTTTTAAGATGATCCCAATTCCCTACGTGGTTATGCTCATTCATTTTCAATTCCTTTTCTCTCAAATCTTTTTCTGCGACCGCAAAATAGAGTATAAAACTTGACTATTTTATCAACACGTGACACGACTATTGACTACAAAGTTTAAACCCCCAGTCAATTAAAAAGCTACCTGATCGATTAATAAGGAGCTTTATTACAATAATTCAATTCAGCTTCAAATTATAGCGCGCAAAAACGTAAAAACTAGAATAATGAGTTTGTAATGTTACGAACAAATCATTCGTTCTGGACACGTGTAGAAATTTAATCATAAGAACAAGGGATCTGTCTATTTCATACTGTCGTTTAGAAATATAATAGACTTTCTTAACCAAGATTTGAAAAGCGTTATAAGCGTATGCACAAAATATAAAAGATTTAATATGGGTAATTTGTCTGGAATTGAGAATTATTGAAGCTTTCAGTGGACCTGCAGAGTGCAATTGGTATAAGGCATACGCAATAAATGTTATTGCAAAACGATAAATTTGACGAACGGAAGTCTGAAGCCTGGGGCATTGAAAAGAACTGTGTATACTCTACAGTCTACACTGTGTATACTCTACAGTCTACACTGTGTATACTCTACAGTCTACACTGTGTATACTCTACAGTCTACACTGTGTATACTCTACAGTCTACACTGTGTATATTCTACAGTCTACACTGTGTATACTCTACAGTAAGGTTTTTTTTTTCTGGGTGCCACAGACCCACCCAATGGTGCTGACTTTTTTGGGTTAAAGACCCACTTTTCCATTGAATGTGGCTCGCTGGCTGAGCTGCGCTCGCAGTAACTTTTTTCGCAAATTTTTTAATCCAATTTTTTGAACTTTCCCTATCAACAATCTTAGAGATTGGACTAAATATTACATTCCATAATTTAGGACTTGAAGTTGATGACCTTCTTCCGTCAGAATAATTATATGTACTATTCATATATGCAATATTCCACCACATTTTGGTTGATAATTTGATTTCCAAAGTCCACTCATACATATGTGGAAAACTTACAAATACCCCTTAAAATGCTGGCTTTATACTTATAGTATAAAGATGTAGGTATAGGTCAGGGACGTAGCCAGGATTTTAATCCAGCTGCGCAGCGAGCGAAGCGAGCAAGCTGTGGCAGGGGTCTGGGGGGCGCAGCCCCCTGGAAAATTTTTGCAAAACAGGGTGTTTTAGACGACATTTGGCATTAAAGAAATTTGTAGGACAGCAATAAACTGGGATTGAAAAGAATCAAGTACTCACGTACAGGGACGTAGCCAGGATTTTTCTTTGAGGGGAGCTGTCGGCGAGCGAAGCGAGCCGACGTGTCCAATCCAGCTGCGCAGCGAGCGAAGCGAGCAAGCTGTGGCAGGGGTCTGGGGGCGCAGCCCCCAGCGGTGTCCAGGGGCAGAGGGGAAATTTTTTGCCCCCCGGAAATTTTTTGCGAAACAGGGTGTTTTAGACGACATTTGGCATTAAAGAAATTTGTAGGACAGCAATAAACTGGGATTGAAAAGAATCAAGTACTCACGTAAAGTTGGTAACTTCACAACAGCAATCTGCATTCTCCAATCAGAATTTACGACTTACTCAGGCCTCATCGTCTTAAAATTTTTACATTTCCTACGGTCTAGGGGACACTATTGACTATTTATAGAAGTCTTCTAGAATGTTTGCTTGGATGTTATGACAGATATTTACTAATGACCAATCCACAGTTCAAATCTTTGACTGACTGCAGTCATAAACACAGCCCAGTTACCAGGCGACCATGGGGGAGTAGACACACAGTTGATAACAACAGACCTACTATCAATATCAACAGACCCACTATTTCATCTTACAGACCCACAAGTCAATCCACAGACCCATTTCAGAGTAGCAAAGACCCACTATTAAGCTAGTAGACACACACTTAATAAAAATAGGCCCACTATTTGACCTTAGAGACCCACTGCCAATAACAACAGACCCACTTTGTAACCTTACAGACCCACAAATAAATCTACAGACCCATTTCAGAGTAGCAAAGGCCCACTATTAAGCGAGTAGACACACACTTAATAACAACAGACCCACTATCGATATCAACAGGCCCACTATTTCATCTTACAGACCCACAAGTCAATCTACAGACCCATTTCAGAGTAGCAAAGACCCACTATTAAGCGAGTAGACACACACTTAATAACAACAGACCCACTATCAATATCAACAGGCCCACTATTTCATCTTACAGACCCACAAGTCAACCTACAGACCCATTTCAGAGTAGCAAAGACCCACTATTAAGCGAGTAGACACACACTTAATAACAACAGACCCACTATCAATATCAACAGGCCCACTATTTCATCTTACAGACCCACAAGTCAACCTACAGACCCATTTCAGAGTAGCAAGACCCACTATTAAGCGAGTAGACACACACTTAATAACAACAGACCCACTATCAATATCAACAGGCCCACTATTTCATCTTACAGACCTTAAGTCAATCTACAGACCCATTTCAGAGTAGCAAAGACCCACTATTAAGCGAGTAGACACACACTTAATAACAACAGACCCACTATCAATATCAACAGACCCACTATTTCATCTTACAGACCCACAAGTCAATCTACAGACCCATTTCAGACTTCAGAGTAGCAAAGACCCACTATTAAGCGAGTAGACACACACTTAATAACAACAGACCCACTATCAATATCAACAGACCCACTATTCCACCTTATAGAGTATAGACCCATGTAAGTAAGTCTACACTATAATAAAACACATCCAAGCTATCAACAGGCCCACTATTTGAGCATGTACAGACCCTCATTAACCATGGTCAATTCAATCCTAACCTCACCCCCCCCCCCCCCCCCCCCCCCAAGAAAATATGTTTTTTTTTCGTTTCAGCCAATTTTAATTTTTCGATGAAAAAATTTGAGGCAAGGGTGCTGGCACCCTTGGCACCCTATAAAAAAAAACCTTACTCTACAGTCTACACTGTGTATACTCTACAGTCTACACTGTGTATACTCTACAGTCTACACTGTGTATACTCTACAGTCTACACTGTGTAGAGGCAAGGAAATGAATTGTACCTCTAAAGCACAGGCTATCATGAAGTGTTGAATCTCAGATTCCCGATATCCCCTCTCTTTGTAAAACTGAACCGTCTTCTTATCCAACATACGAGCTATCTTATCTCCGATGTGCTGCACAAGGTTATATCGTCAGAATGATTGTGTGCTGCACAAGGTTATTTCGTCAGAATGATTGTGTGCTGCACAAGGTTATTTCGTCAGAATGATTGTGTGCTGCACAAGGTTATTTCGTCAGAATGATTGTGTGCTGCACAAGGTTATTTCGTCAGAATGATTGTGTGCTGCACAAGGTTATTTCGTCAGAATGATTGTGTGCTGCACAAGGTTATTTCGTCAGAATGATTGTGTGCTGCACAAGGTTATTTCGTCAGAATGATTGTGTGCTGCACAAGGTTATTTCGTCAGAATGATTGTGAGTTAGGAATAGGGATTGTACATCATGTCACACTGTCATATGAATCTCAATTAATTTCTAAACGCTTGACTTATAATCAAAGCTGCTATGTTATCTGCAGAAATGGGAGATGACTTTATCATATCAAGTCTTTATCATAAACTGTCTCCGTAATACGAATAAATTTAGTTAAACAAGTTTGAGGTTGATATGATTTACGAAAGTACTAATATATTTAATACCCAAATTTCCTTGATTCAGTCCCCGGTCTCACCTGTATACTCTTAGCTTCCTCCCCGGACCTTAAAGGAATAGGATAACTACAGAGCGCCTTCATAGACCTTGAGTAGGAATGATAGGACTTGTTATCCTTCTCCTTAGCATCATCTCGCAATTCTTTGATCCAGTTGTAAAAATGGGGATTAGATGGACATTTTGGCATTTTGCTATTTTGGAAGTTAAATTGTTAGAAGTTTGTTTGGAGTGATAAAGCTAAGACGCAGGGAAATTTTAGGTCGTAAGAATAATCAGTGAAAATTAAATGAATTTTAAAGTGATGCAGAATAGATTGATTAAGCTTATTATTCAATGCTGACGGAGACAAAAGTTGGACACATAGGTTTATAATGTTCTGAGCCAACAGCCAGTTCCTTACTTACTAGAAATTAAATAGCTCATTAGCTCTACCAAGTACCAATCTAGTAGGTTAATTGAGGATGAATATTGAATCGTTGGATGCTCGAATGTGAGAACAAAGGCTGTGATCAAAACTTAATAACCTTGTGGAATATTAAACTTTTAAAATAAGAGGCTTGTACTGTAAAATGGAAGTACTAGGAAAGTGTAAATAAATTCATTCAAAAACAGCTCCAATAAAATAATTCATTCCTCATCTTGACACATTTCCTCAAACTAATAATGTAACTCATTATTTACATACAAACAGATAATTTCTTCACCCAGACTTCAATGCAATACACAAAAGGTTCTCGTTTAGTTTTAGTTAATTCCTTCAGTTAATTCCTTCAAGAATTTAGTTAATTTAGTTAATTAGTTAATTCCTTCAAGAATCCTTCTTTGATTCTTCCATCCACTTTGGTTCGGAGTGTATTTTTCCCATAACCTTTTTGTAAGTGAGGATGTACTGAACAAGTGAATAGACACCCATAACACCTGTTATTGCTCTGAAATTGTACGTATTAATATTATTCTCTGGATAAGTTAAAAGTATTTTCCCTGATTTTATTTCATGCTGCTTTCCGCGATTAATAGCTATAATGGGAGTGGATACGTAATTTTAAAACTCGTCTTTCTACGTTTTCAATATACACAATTGAATTGAATATAGAATTATTAGGAGACACATCAGTGGAAATTATTATTATCTGACATTAAGTTTAGAGAACTTTACTAGCAGAATTTAACTAGCAGAATTTAGCAGAGTAAGTTCATTACATATAATGTACGCATATAAAATGTGTGTAATTGATATTGATTACATAATTCCCCTTTATTGGAAATTGATGTTTTAGTTTACAGCAAAAGCAGACGGAAACAAAAGAACGGGCTTGGCCGGGAATTGAACCCGGGACCTCTCGCACCCTAAGCGAGAATCATACCCCTAGACCACCAAGCCGATGACAAGATAACCAAATAGCCTTTTCTAAAATTTCAACACTGTCGTAAGCTTCGATTTGAAAAGGGCAATTCACTGATCAAGTGGTATGCTCACTACTAAAACTTTTTCCAGTACCATCCATTTTATGACAATCAACCTTGTCACGCAACTTGGGATATATTAAGTAAATTGAATTAGATCTTAGATCTGCGGAAATACATAGCACATGTGGCTTAGTGGTCTAGGGGTATGATTCGCGCTTCGGGTGCGCGAGGTCCCGGGTTCAAATCCCGGCTGAGCCCTTTTGTTTAAATTTGCAGTATCTCCCGTTTATCTCAACAGTGAGAAGCATTGTGACTAAAACAGTGACTAGGAAAAGAATATAAGGTTGCAAATACATCTATACTAATTCAGAACGGCCGAAGGTATGAACAAACTGAGTTGATCAGAACGGTAACTGCAGTCATTTGATTGCCTAAAAGTATCATATTATGGAGTTCATAGAACATGTGGGAATCTTCGAAACATCAACTTGTACATATAACAGTTAACGCGGAGAAATAAATTTTACCAAATATATGGGAAGCAGAAACCTGGTAAATAGATGGCATGAAGGGTTCTTGACATCGCAATATTGACATGAATTGTATTCATGTTGTTTCAGTGTAATTTTTTAACAGAATTAGCAAATTTGTGTAAAAATAATTGGTACCAGCTTCCTATCTACTGATAGTTTCAGTACAAAAGGCAGAACCACAATAAAAGAACGGGCTCAACCGGGATTTGAACCCGGGACCTCTCGCACCCAAAGCGAGAATCATACCCCTAGACCATTGAGCCACTGACAATTGAGGAATATTGCTATAATTATGCTTTACAATCTCAACGTCTTCTCTTGATACCTACTTCGTATGACGTAATCAATGGTAATGCCCTAAATGCCAATGTACTGCCCACTGAGCAGCATTTTCAGTGAATCTGTTCTAAACGATTTTTCTTAATAAAAAAACAAAACTTACAAATAGCCCTGAAGATAAGTCGAATCTTGGAGTGACCAGATAGGGGCACCGAGACAACCAATAACTGCACCAAGCTGCAAACACATGTTCACCTGGTAGATTTTAATATGGAAATGTAGAGGAATTTCAAAGAGGAATTTCAAAGATCAATCTTAGATGGCACAATTAGTAATAGTAATACCGAATTCTTTTCGGGTAAAATATGTTGAGATCAGAATGTGTGTGAAGCGTTAACCAAAAATCACGTGAATAAAGTTTGTGAATGTAAAGTAAATTTTGCCAAACCTTTCCATGCCAGCCGGGTTTAACTTCTATGGTACCGTCTGCTATATTGAACAGTTCTTTAATCGAGAACTGAAACAAAATGTTGTTGGGGAGGAGCAATCAATCGGCCGGCATCCGCTTTCCGACATAATATTGTGCTCACTAAAGTTGTGTAACTCTTACTTAACATCAAGATAATAATACCTGACGACTTATCACTCACCAGTTGGGAAATATGGGAGGATAGCTAAACTAAGTTAAAGTAGAGAATATATGAGGATTCTGGTGACAACCATTCGGGTTGGCCCACGTACGTACGTGCAGCAGCCGGCGGTTTCGAATTATATAGATGTGTATGCGCGCGTACGTGATCATCTAGCTATGCGCGCGCATGTGCCGCGGTTTCCAGCAAGAATAGATCATTAAAATTTGATTCGTCGTTCGCGCGCGCTCTCGAAGTCTGCCAACAGGGTCGGGAATTGGGATACTCTTCCGGTGGATAGTGGAAACCTGCCGAATGATGATGCTATTAGAGCAGCGTGTACGCGATGTAGACGACTTATATTATTCTTATGTAATCGTGGTTTTGTTGTAGAGATAAATGGTGCACATAAAGAGAAACGCCACTGTGAATAATCAATCATAATTTTGCAGACACTATGTGAAACATCATGTATTTGGGAGAAGCGGTAAAGGTGCATATAGTATGCCCAGTATGACTATACAGGAGCGGTTCATGACCATGCGGCGAATATACAACTACTGATTAATACTGACAAGGACACGTACTGCAGAGCGATAAAAGGTCACCCGCTCAGACTGTACTGTGTTTCGCTGTTGAGTTGGACTCGGGATCACAGGCGTAACCTAACTACACCACCAGTGACGTAACCTTACTACACCACATGTGACGTAACCTAACTACACCACCTGTGACGTAACCTAACTATACCACCAGTGACCTAACCTAACTACACCACCTGGGACGTAACCTAACTACACCACCTGTGACGTAACCTAACTACACCACCAGTGACGTAACCTAACTACACCACCTGTGACGTAACCTAACTACACCACCTGTGACGTAACCTAACTACACCACCTGTGACGTAACCTAACTACACCACCTGTGACGTAACCTAACTACACCACCTGTGACGTAACCTAACTGCACCACCTGTGACGTAACCTAACTACACCACCAGTGACGTAACCTAACTACACAACCTATGACGTAACCTAAAGACCTAACTACACCACCTGTGACGTAACCTAACTACACCACCAGTGACGTAACCTAACTACACAACCTGTGACGTAACCTAACTACACCATCAGTGACGTAACCTAACTACACAACCTGTGACGTAACCTAACTACACCACCTGTGACGTAACCTAACTACACCACCTGTGACCTAACCTAACTACACAACCTGTGACGTAACCTAACTACACCACCTGTGATGTAACCTAACTACACCACCTGTGACGTAACGCCACCTGTGACGTAACACCACTGTACACCACCAGCTGAAGGTTGAGCTCTGGAAGCGTTTCATTTTGCTTGAGACTGATATCCTCCATTTGAGAGAACTTGCTAGTGATCGTAGATATTAGAGTTAACTTTTCAATTTTATACATGAGTACAAGTCAATTTGAGTTGTGGGACATGATTTATAATCTTACAAAGGATCACGTTTCGATTCTAAATTATTTTCAGATTATTTTTAAGATTGAAATGTTTGATAATAATAATATGCTGGCAAGCTCGATGATATCGATTACATTACAACAATCTATTTTTATTTAGCGGATGGATTACCGACTAAGGTGGCATGTGTAAGGTTATACGAATAAGGTCACAATCCTCAACGACCGTTTTCTTTTGCTAACTTTCTTTAACCTTGATATATTTTTACTGAACCACGTTGTAGTTACTCAATACTAGCATTATATATATTAGAGCGATTGAAAGAATTATCTTACCGTAAGGTAACTTTACGTCCGGAAAGTTTTTTCTGTGACAGCCATTCAAATTAGAAATCAAAATTTAACCTAATTTGAAAAACATTTGCCACATTTTTTCGTTGTTCAAACGAGTTCAATTTTACGCACTAAAGTTTTGGTGCCCACATCTTGCGTGCGTAATATATCTTGCATTGGCAACTTGAACTGTTGCTTCCGTCTAGAACCTACTCCTCAGCCTTTAGTGAATGTGGTTTTGCTTTTGGTTCCCGTGACCTTCCTCCCCCATCTTGTCGTGTTATCTGCTTGAAATACTATCCCTCAACAATAAAACTTGTTTAATCGCAGCTTGCTTGTTTTATTTTGTTGGTTTGTTATCCATTTACATGTGTAAAAAACCTCCTCATTATTAGAATCGCAATCTAGCAACACAACCATAAACATGATTTATTTTGTTTACAGTTCATCTGTACTTCAACAGACATATTGTATATTTGCTGAAATTTGAAGAGGTCACATCTTTAATCTTTAACTCTTCTGATTATTGCAGTCTACATAAATACATTTTCTAATAACTGAGAACTTTTTATACAAATAACTCCAGTTTCTAATACCAACAGAAGGATGGTTCTCTTCGGAAGCATCACGATAGACGGGAAAATAATATACAACGGAACAAAGACAGATGGGATCATGAACTATGTTTGTGGCGGACTCCTTATAGCTTATCTAGTGATCGGTCTTATCGTAAGTCTCCATCTAATTTACTACTACAAGTTAAATCAGCCCTCCTGGATCGATAAATACCTCTGCTACTCTTCCATCTTACGACTTTTTATTTTTACATATTATCCAGCTGCTCTGTACTTCTGTAGTTTATCAGCTTTTCAATGATAGCCCTCCAACCCAGATTCTAGATAAATTGAATTGGTGGGAAAAAGTGTGCAACATCACCTCTTATCTAAGTTTCTGTGTGCTCCTGGCATTTGATGCTGTCATTGTGACCATACAGTACGGCAATATCCACTGTCCTTTGTGGACTCTCCTCAACGATTCTTATAAACTGAAGAAACGTGTGCTGATTGCAGCAACTGTTCTTCTCACGGCTTTTTACACTGCTGCAGTCATACTGGGGCAAATATGCAGAAAGAAAGAATCCTTACCATATTCCAATGTCGAGGGTGTTAATAACTACTGACGCTATTTCCAATGCTCCCATCATTTTACTGGCATGTTTGACCATCGGCATCTACATGACCACCTGGATCAGGTTTTGGTGCCAAACTCAGGAGATAAGAGTCGTTGAATTGGTTAGGAGAGAGTTTAGGTTGGTCGGCATTTTTGTATTATCTGATTTCATATGCGCTTCATCTTTGATTGTTCTTGTGGTAAATCTAAGCATAATGAAAGAAGGAAACTTATGTCGAAGTGTATACATTTGGATTCTTTCCAGTACTATGGTTCCAGTAACGGTTAGTACGCTAGTTGCTTGCTACTTGTTCATCAGTGATAAGGGCATCATTCGCAACCTGTTTGGAAGATTTTGCCCAGGAAGCTTAGGATATGAACGAGTTAACTGATACCTTAATCATATATGTTAATATCCGAACAGGATACGTCTGGAGTCTGGAAAGTGAAAGATTATCCACTACTTTGTTTTGTGTCTCTGCTTAATGATTAGGGAATTTAAACAGACTCCACTTAATTGCTAAATATTTTTTATAGGATATATAACTTTTTTCATTTTGTTAAAAAAATTCATCGTGAATTATGATTTTTAGTTTTTTCAAGACGATAAATCGCATTTAATGGGATTCATTTTCCGATCTTTTAAGTTAGAACTATATAAACTTAAGACCATGACCAGCTAATCTTTTTCATATTAAATGAAGCTAAAATTAAAGTGGACTTATTATTTGATGAACTTAAAAAGGTCAAACTCCAGTAATATTGTAAATGTTGTACAATGTAAGTTTGTTTGTTGATTATTAAAGGCACAGTGTTTGACTTGTAATTTAAGTATTTACGATTGATAATTACTAGAACGAAGCCAACTAGGATCTAACAGAAAGAAACACAGACAATTTTGTGACAATTTCACTAAACTTCAGTGTGGTAATAAATTGCTGGTAAAGCTACAGTCTACATTACCACATAGTTAGGGCAAGAATTGCTGTTTATGGGTCAATCTGTGAACAAATTCGTAACAAAGGTTTGTCTACAGGAATGTGTTGTCCATAGTCCCAGGAACCACCAAAAAAAACCGTCCAGCTGAAAAATTTGGGCAAAACAATTCCTGTAGACAAACCTTTGTTACGAATTTGTTCACAGAAAAATCAACTCTTGCCCTAACTAACAGATAATCTTATGATAATGCCAGTAAACCACGTGAAGCTATCGTTTAACATCAGCATAAATTATCGGAGCAAAGTTGACTCACTGATCATTAGCCAATAGTGAGTAACCAATAGAGTACATCAGCTAAAATCTACAGTAAACATAAGCTTATACTGTAAGCACAAGACTTACAATCTATCCAGTCCCAAGTTCTTACAAATGTTCCATTAGAAACAACTAGAAACCATGACTGAACCGCCTTACAGGGGCCAGGGCGAACTTACCGGGTTTAACTCATGAAGCTTCACATGCCTAGATACAGAGGGTAGCATGTGCATTACAGCAGATCACCGAACAGTAATTCTCAGAGATTGTGCTCTAACAGAACTGGTTATCTCATTACCTCCCTGCTTCTCGCACAACAGCAGGCTCCTCGTGGCGTTGAAACACTTCCTGCTCATCACTCTCGCGATAGTTCAAACATTTTGACCTTTCATTGGGCTTGATTTTGTCTCGTTGTATAGATAGGAGGCGATTTGTTTTGTTGGTAGTGGTAGCTGGAGTCGGGGATGGATTCTCAGTGCAAATTTGGTCAGTATGTGTGTATTGCAACGCTTATCATATGGATCTTGTCAGTTGCGGGTAAGTCGTAAGATAATGGTATTGATAAACGAACAGTTTACTCGACTGGGAATGGTGAATGCTGAATCGTTTTACATCTCTTATATCAACTATAAGCTATATTGATGAACTATTTAAGTTATAATATTTAGGTGAACTTTTCCACTGTGTAAATACCACTGCATTGTAAAATATAATTCCACTTTCTACGTGTAGAATTTAATTTTAATCATGACTACCGTTTAATTATTTAACGTTCAGGGATGCTACCTCAAATTATCTACACAGTGGATTATACTCAGAACATTGAAGTCTATTATGATGAAATTGATGATTTAGACCACAATGATAACCTTCACCGAAATTTGGGAATCCTTGATTTATGATACTGATCGGGATTTGAGAGGAGTTGTCTGGTTTTTATCGGTAAGTTGTAAAATGTTAGTATCTACAGACACTGTCATGATATTTATTTAAATTACTGCATTACATGATCAATATTTAAAATAAAATATTGCAAAACACGTTAAATTCACATACCTTGTCCAAAGATTTGTATTTTACAGCTAGTCCACCACAGAGGAGAATAATGTCACGCCCTAGGATTATAAACACCAGCCAGCCTACGAGATTCAGAAGATAACCAAGAAATTATCCCGAGGCTAATATAAGGAGAAGTTAACATGTGAGGAGTATCATTAGAGGTTTCTGTAAAGTAAATTTAAATGATGTAGGTTTTTTAAAGTATTTACTTTGTACTAACTGTATTTACTTACTAGTATTTTTAGCCAAAGCTTATGAATGTCTATGGTTGATGGGAAATTCATATCTTGCAACATTATGAATGGTAATACCTATTTCCGTTCAAAAATTTGATTCATGACTCAGCTCAAGTAAGACTTACTGGGCATAAGACCAGAATACCAAACACTAGCGGTAGTTAATCCCATGAGCATCTTGTCACCGATTGGATCTATAATGCTACCCAGCAGCGATCTTTGGGAGGGGAACCGCCGAGCAATCTGGCCATCTAACTGAAATAAGGGTCGTCATTTAGGACTACAGTTAAATCAACTGTGAACTTTGGTGGTTCAATTGATTTCCAAATCGGGGCTAGTTAGATACCCGTATTTATGATGTATTGTGAGTATCTATAGATAGGAAATTTATTATGTTAGATGATTTAAATTTTAAAATTTAAAAAGTATAAATAAACAACTCACAAAATCTGTAAGTCCAGCGACACTAAACAAAACCAGTGCAGTGGAGTGCTGACCATTAATTACTGAGTATGCTACGATTGGTGACAATAGTATTCGCGAGAAGCTCAGAGCATTAGGAATAGTATAGATATTGTCCTTCTGAAAAAGTTAACGATTATTAGGTTAATGATCATTGAGTAAAAATATTTTTAATTATTTACAAAATTTCATTCGATAATCTTGGAACTGTGTTATGCAGATTGTGCAAGTAATTGTATAAACATCTATGCTTCAATCTTCATGATGAAATAAACAATAAACAAGATATTTGAATAACATTTATTAATTCTTAATTACATCTAGTAATTATGTATGATTTATTCTTTAAAGGGGTGTTTGAAGTGAATTTAACTGTTAACTTTTCAAAGAATCATTGCTGATTTCAATAATGTATGATTATCAGGCCATATGTTTTCATTAAAAATATTCCCAGTTAGTAAAATTGACATGATTTACCTAGAAATTTAATACCTTACCACTTTAAGGTCGTCAGAGTTGCTTGAAGAATTTCTGCAACCAAGATACTTTAGCTTGTACCTGAGGTTAAAACTGATATTGGTTTGTTTCAAATAAGAATCATGGTGTCAACTGGCTATGAGGAAAACAATCATAACTAAGCTAAGGCTAGAAGCAACTCAAACTTTCCGGGTTTGATTAGTTTTATTTAAAATATTTGTTTTTGAATTGAAGCATACCTTAGTTTTAATTTATTGGTACTCTGAAACAGACTTAAGACCGGTCGCTGCAGTCTACAGCTAATCATCCCTTGAAATTTGTATTTTAGCAAATTAGCATGTTTCTAGAACCCCAATAAATCAATTCTTTAAATATCGATCATAGGTACCAAATGGGTAACTAGCTAAAGAGTTAATCTTATGTTTGTGACTTCAGAAAGAATATACAATATGCAATAGCATTGTGAATACTGAGACTCTATGTGCATGCGGTATGTTCCAAGACAACAACGCGAACGGTTACAAACTTTTCCTTCAACAGATTTAACTTACAAAGTCACATAATTTCAATCTATTCCTTTAAAAAAGTATACCAAATCAACAAACTATGCTGTTCAACATTTAGATCAGAGGTAACAAAAGAATTAATAAACCTACATGGCTGTGACATTTTTAACAGGCAATCATAAGTTGTAAGTCAGTTACTCAGACCGTTGAAGCGGTAGGTTGGGAAATCAGTTTTCACAATGGCAACCAAAACTACAACGTTTGCAATAAGTTACATTCTTTAACTGGTATCCACAGGCTGAATAGCATAAAAACGATGATTCGTCAAAATTTAGTGCAACAAATAGATGAACTAATAAGACTAGCTAGCATTTTTTAAATTTTTGATAGCACATAAAAGATCACTAATTGAACAATAATTAGACCTGAACTGAAATCCAACATTGTTTATATAGTAAAGTATGTGGTGCGTATTGAAGGACACCATTAAAAACAGCCACTCTTCCATCCTTATTGCAATGTATAATGCACAGTGACCCTATATAAAATGAAACCGTCAAAAATATAGCACATGTTCCCCTTCTAAAATATTGACTGAACCACTTGAAAATTACAATAGGCCTTATGGCTCTAAATTTAATTCTAGACTCCCAATATTCACACAGTTCTTTCTTGCCCCTCTGTCTTCCCGAAGAGAAATCACTGTTTTTCTAATGATTTCAAATTGAAGACGCTTCCTGAAATATCCCACCGCATTTGAATTTACCTGGGGACCCCAGGCTATTATGTTCATAGAATAGAGATTCGGCGGAATGACAGGTTAGGCGCCACCCAGTAACATCTGAATATATTTGACCTGAGTGATATTCCATCTTACTGGCTGCTGCTTCTTCACCATTTTTCTTTCGAACAATATACAGATAATTTCAACAATGGTAAGTGTCTAACTATATGCTATAAGATGATCTAGGTAAACTATAGGTAAAAATATAATATTAATCATAAGCTAAAATGTACTAATCTTTGTAATCTAAATGGGGAAAAGAAGAAACATTGTCGGTCAGTCGAGAAAATTGTCAGTCAGGCTATAAGACACCCTGGAAAATGAATAAACTGTAGGAAAGAAAAATTTTTTAGGAAAAGAAAAAATTTTTATTTACCACAAAACAATCAATACATAATGTTATATTCATAAGAGTATTATACCCAACAATGACCGGCGAACTGATAGCTACTTCAGAAGCAATGAAACTACGATCTTCTAAATAAAATGAGTCATAGTACTTTCAGCCGGAGCCATCATAAGTGACATAAATCTAAAAGATAGTATGGTTAGTTTCTAAATATAAACTCAAACTCTGAAAAGGAAACTGCTGTGATAAATGAAACATCAATAAATGGACCAAGTATATTTAAAAATAATTTATGGAGAGCCCCTCGGACAAAATGAAAATTAATTATGCAGTAAAGGAATCTTGAAAGGGTTTGTACTATTCATTCCTGAGGGGCGAAGGGACTTTAAGGCATGTATATATCGGTGCTCCTTTACATCTAAACTACTAGGACTTGAATTTTCTAGAATACACACTGAAACACTATTGTTAAAATTTTCCTTCTGAGACAATCCATGCTCTATATGGAGGTGGAGTCCTACACAGTTTGAGTCATCATCCGTGTCAACCTTTTGCCCACTGATGATCTTGTAGAATGCTCTTCTGTGTTCGCCAAACCTTACCCGTAGCATTCTGGTGGATTTGCCCACGTATGGTTTCTCACACAGTTTACATCTGATCAAATATATAAATAAATTCAAATTTCAATTTCAAACACATATATAGTACGCTGCGCACACAGCCACAATTTTCAATTGTTCAGAAATTCGTAGGTCAGCTGTAGGCGCCGCGCACAGGATCTATTTAATTGTTATCTTACAATTACATGTCGCATTTCTTAATTACTAGAGCCAAAATTTCAGAAGCAAAATAATTTAAAACATATTTCTGTCGTTCACGCAGTACAGGCCGTGAGCACTGCGATCTAATTAATAGATCGAATAATAATAATGGAGAAATTCCAAAAACCGCGCGCCCGTTATTTGTGATTAAATTGAGTGCGCGCCTCTGTGAACAGCAGTACCGCTCAAGCATGAAGTACTAAGCGGTACGCAGTTCTGCGTGAGGCGTAGACATTTGTAGCACACGTTTCATTCAACTAATCAATTATGTGACATGTAATTATATTAAAGCAAAAAGAATATTAATTTTAGTAATAATTGACGTAAACATATGTGTTTAAATAACATTTATAATCTAGCGAGTTACCAATAATACAATACTATTTGTTTGTATTATTGATTATATATACATGTGTTTACACTAGCCTATATTATGATGGAGATATACATTATATAATTGCTCCAATATTCAACACCGCTAAACAACAAATACCTACTCGCCCATCGATGAAGCAGTCGCCAAAACAAAGCTCAAAGTTAATATACCTTCGTACTTCGTTTTGGAAACTGTAGAATGCCAGTAAATAATTAGTGTTTCAATCGTGTATTCGATGGGCAAGCACTCGCCACTCGAGGCCGAGACAAACGGCACCGGCTCCGCCCCGCAACCATGAAGTAATGTAAGCAGTAAGGCGGGGCGGTGGTGTGCGCCGTTTATACGGCCCACAGCACGAGACATTTTGAGCTCCAAGACTTAAGACTATAAAAGTCCCGAGTTAAACGTAGCGACTTACCATCGTCAGCCGTCAAAAATTTAGAATTTGTATGTTATAAACTCTACATCTGATATCAGTATAACATGTAATTAAGTTTGTTATTGGCTAAATTTTAAACTCGATTAAGCGATGCAGACGGATGAACTAGGCTCCTCCTCCGTCAAAAACACAATGAGAGGGGATTGTGGAAGGACACGAACACTATTCGTTAACTCGTACCCCGGGTACCCCCTAGAACTATGTCCCATCAGAGAGAGCCCATCACCCGTCAGATCGAAAACAGTGTTTTAATTTTGATATATGCTGTACCAATTACAATAAATGGTAAGTCAAGGCTGACGTTGGTAGCAAAATATAAAGTGACACGTTACAACAAAATAACCACTACACACTACACACTATAACTATTGTACACAGTACACAGTATAACTAAAATACAAAATATAAACAAGTTACAAGAGACAAAAGAGTTTACAGAAGAGTTTTACATCGGCTCAGCACCGCCAGGACATTGGCTATACACGTGGGTCAATTAGTTTGATATTTATACCAATACAATAAATTCAATGTTATACTTTTACTTTACTTACTACTACTACTATTACTTTTACTTTACTTACTACTTTTAAAAATTACTTACTACTTATAAAAATTGCGCACGAGGGCGCAGCTGTATCGTGGCTTTCGCCACAATAAGTAGTATTATGGCTTTCACCACGATATTATTCACCTTACTGAGGCAGTCAACCAACGCGCGGCTTTATTTTTATGATATGATATGTTTTGATTGTTTTAAAATTGTTTTCCTACTACGTTTAGTGAAACGATTTAGCAAAACAACAATGAGGGTCACGACGTTATATATAGGCAACTGGTTCCTTTTGCCAGCCGTTTTTAGTCCATGTACTGTCCCATTTCTGGTCTCAGAACGTGCGCAACTAAAATTTTCTTATGCCAACGTGGAATTATTCGCAATTTGTATCACGTCGTGACCCCCTGTCATTGCAATCGTAAGCGGCAGGGCTACAACGTGAAACAAAACATTATGAAAATGAAATGAAATGAAATGAAATGAATTAATATTGAAATATAATGAAATATAAATGAAAAATAATGAAATATTTAAAATTACTTTTACTTCTGCTTTGGAAATTTTATTGATTTTTAAATTCATAAGTTTAGGCTTAGCACCGTCATTTATTATTATAATATAATATAATAAGTGACTAGCCCCGCGCTGATAGAAATTTATGATTGAGATAAATTAAATTTTCGAGTAGTATATAGTAAAAAGCGTATTTACATAGCATGCATGCCTAATTTTTTTGAGTTTATTATCGGATGTTTAAGTTTAACTTTGTTTATTATGATAATATTATTTAAAAAATACGACAATATAATCAAAGGCACGATGTTGGATACCTGAGTTCTATATCTTTCGATAGAAAATCCATTTATGTATTTGCTTAGCTTCCATCTCTGATCCTGGTTTACCTGGGGACACAGGCTATTATGTTCATAAACAGAATAAAGATTCGGCGGAATGACAGGCTGAGCGCCGCTCAGTAAATCCTGGTACTTGAGATTCCAGTTGTGTGTTTACAACCTACCAGGACGCGCGCCGAGTTGGACTCATCGACGGTCCTGTATATATGGAACAGATATTTTACGAGTATCACCCGTTAAGTGTCATTAAGATTCCAGGTGTGATTTTAAACAATGTTTTAAGGCCCAATACTCAGCTCACTCAGTTGATGGTAGAACTGTGGGTCTGGCAATAAAATTTAAATTTTGTTTTACTTAAATGTTGTTTTGCTTTAAAAGTTTTTAAAACCAGGGTTAAAATTGTTGTATCACGTTGTGACCCCTACGGTCGTTTCACTATGGTGGTGTTACGAAGTAGCGCGCGCCGGGCCAGACCATTAACGTCGTCCTGACAGTACAGGGGGAGCCGCGCACTTCGTGCGCGGCGGGTCATACAACGTATTACTGGGCCGCGCTCAGCCTGTCATTCCGCCAAATGTTTATGAACATAATAGCCTGGGGTCCCCAGGTAAACAACGTATGACAATAAATTGTAGG